GGACGCTCCCACTTGAGGTCCTGGGTGATGGTGGTGCCCAGGAAACGGAAGGACTCCACAGAGGTGATGGGGGAGTCCATCACGGAGGGTGGGGGCGGGGGGACAGTGCTCTTCCTGAAGTCCACAATCATCTCCACTGTCTTCTGGGCGTTCAGCTCCAGGTTGTTACCACTGCACCAGGACACCAGCCGGTCCACCTCCCTCCTGTAGGCGGACTCATCATTGTTGGAGATGAGTCCAATGAGGGTGGTGTCGTCCGCGAACTTGAGCAGCTTCACGCAGTCGTGGCTGGAGGTGCAGTGGTTGGTGTACAGGGAAAAGAGCAGGGGAGAAGAGACTTTGAGTTGCCTTGTGTATCAGATTCAGATTCAGATTCATCTATTTGCCATTTGCAGTAAAACCACATTGGAATACACTTGGAAAAGTTCCCAGTGTGCACAAGACAAGTACAGACATAAAACAACATTAAAAGACAGAAATAAAACAAATAAAACAGTAAACAATTGTCGACCAAAACAATATCAATACAAGTGCAAGATCATTTTAAAGTGCTCTGTTCACACTGATAACAACCTGTGGAAAAAAGCTGTCGTTAATATAACGAGATGTCCTGCATCTCAGAGAGCGATATCTTCTGCCAGAGGGAAGAAGCTGGAACATGGCTTTCCCAGGGTGGCCAGAAGAGTCATTAACAATCCTAAGAGCTTTGTTTAAAAGTGTCACGTGGGTGAAAAACAAATGAGGCCCAAAAGGCAAAAACTGCAAAATGATGGATTTAATGAAAGTAATACAAATCAAGACCTTCCAAAAACACAGGGAACGGACAGAACTAAAACAGACTAGGAATGACAATGACGGAACAGGGAGTGAAGGAACACACAGGGCTAAATACAAGACTAACGACACACAGGTGAGACAGATGAGGGCAGGGCAGGTAATCAGACAACAGGAAGTACAACCAAAGAAGACACAGGGATAACACATTTCAAAATAAAACAGGAAATAAACTTAAACCATGACAAAAAGTCTGGATTAATAAAGAACTTCCAGAACAGGAAGCTCACAGCCCACGGTCCTCTTTGCAGAGCGGAGCACCTTATTTAAAGCTCTCTTTTCTTTATCTGTGATGTTTCCAAACCACACAGACACAGAACCAACGAGTAAACTCTCAATGGTGCAGCGATAAAAGTTAAGCAGAATCTTAGAGTTAGTGGTGAATTCTCTAAGTTTACGCAGAAAGTAGAGACGCTGACGAGCTTTCTTAACGACTCGGTCAGTGTTTTTAACCCATTTCAGGTTAGACAGAGTTAAACCCAGAAACTTGCACTCCTCTACGATCTGCACCTGGGAGTTGTCGATTACGACAGGCAAATGAGAACTATTGCGACTGAAGTCGTAGATCAGTTCACATGTTTTCGATGCGTTCAACTGGAGGTTGTTAGTTTTACTCCACTGAACCACATTTTGTATCTCTGCTCTATAAGAGGATTCATCATTGTCACTGATGAGACCGATGATGGTGGTGTCATCAGCATATTTAATGATCAAGTTAGAGTCAGAGGAGGACACACAATCGTGAGTGTACAAAGTAAAAAGCAAAGGACTCAAAATACATCCCTGAGGAGAACCAGTGCTCACAGAAACAACATCAGAAAAACAGTCATTGATTTTCACTCTCTGAGATCTGTCAGTTAAAAAGCTAAAAATCCATTTACACATGGCAACACTTAAACCGAGAGACATGAGCTTTTCCATCAGTTTACCTGGGACAAGGCAGTTAAAAGCAGAGCTATAATCGATGAAAAGCATTCTCGCGACAGATTTACTAGTGTCCAAGTGACTGTAGACAGAGTTCAGAGCAAAGGAGATGGCATATGACATATGAACTGTGACATACAAATAAACTTGCCTTGCCTTGTTGGGATATCTTAGGGACGTGTGTCGTGTGAAATGCTTTTGACATTAAGCAGATTAGTAAATTCCAAGTTGGTTGCAATAATCAATATTTTGTACTGCTTCATCAGAGACAGGATCAATATTTTAAAAGTTTAGCAGCAACATCAGCAGTTTTATTATGGTCTAAAGCAGATTCTTATCCATGCAACAGGCTGCAGTAGAGGAACACGGTAAAATAACTCATTTTCCTCTGTATCTAAATTATCCCTGTATTATCATATGGTTTTTCTTTACGTTTAAGTTATGATAGTATAAATCACTTTTAATTACTGAATGAGGTCAGAGAGCGGTGATGGTTATGTATTATCATATTTCATTATTTCAACACTTAAGTAATGATAGTAGAACTTTTAATTACTACTAAAGAGTACAGCAACTACTAAAGAAGTCTGGCCCAATTCAACACCAGGCTGAGAACCAGTAAGTAATCTTTAATCATATAGTGCATTTCACAGACCAAAGTCAGACAAAGAGCTTGATAATTATTTTTTCCATTGTCTCCACAATTGATAATGACAGAAGCGAGACCCCGAACACACCGGACCATCAAAGCCCCCGACCAACACCGTCCATCCACTCATTACATACAGACCTATTGTTACTGCATTTTTTATATATGTCTGTATGTGTTTTTATTCTGATGTTCTGATTGTGTTTTTAACTTTTAACTAGCACCTTGAGATGTGTTCGCATATGTAAGATGTGTTATAATTATAAATAAAATCAATTATTATTACCTGGAGGAAACGGACACGCACGGGGCCTGGAGGTATGTCCTTGCAGCTCAGGTCCTGACCGAGCTGAGCGTCAAAACCTGGAGATGGGTTCCCGGGGCTGTTACCACGGCGACACTGCTCCTGTGCATTTACAGTGGGTCAAATGCAGAAGACAAAGTTTCACATGAAGATAAATAAAGTGCACATTTACATTTATTTTCTGCGTCACTGTGACTGTTATAGGGTCTAACTGAAAGGACTGTGGTGATGATCCAGGACATTCAACATTCTGGGTTGGCGATTTAAACGGTTTTTACGTCAATCATAGTGGAATCCTTGTGAGTCATGAAACATTTACACCACAAAAGCCACAACCTGTCGTGTGTAACCTGCAGTTCAACACGGCCCCCACCGACATCGCTGCAAAAATACTACTGTGATGTCACATATCAGTGGGACAGTCCTGCTCTCCCTTTGTTTCCTTCTTTGTGAGAGAGTTCACTTTCGCACCGGTTTCCGATGCTACTTCTTCAACCTGGATGATGTCACTCTGCTGTATTTTTCCACATCTAAAGCTCTCTTCACAACAAATCACACATTTCTTAAAACAATTGTTAATATAAAAAGAAACATTAAAGATAGAAATACCCATCCTCAAGTCTACTGTATTTCAAAGAAAGACTGAAATAGCAATTTGGGTTTTGTGTTGAAGTCTTGTTGTCTGTTGATTTAGTGTGCATATATGTGTGTACCTGTGTGTGCATGTGTGTACCTGTGTGCGTGTATGTGTGTGCAAATGTGTGCATGTATATGTGTGTGTGTATGTGTGTACATGTGTGTGCTTGTGTGAACCTGTGTGCACATGTGTTCGCATATGTGTGTACCTGTGTGTGCGTACGTGTGTGCACGTGTATCAGTGTCCTGTGTGTGTATAAACACACAGATTGTCAGTCCAGCTGCATATGGACACTTTTCTGGAGAAGTGTGGTAACTTGAGCATCTTCTTTTCCTTGTCATTATGACTTCAGCTGTAGTCTGTTCATTGCTATTCACCTGCTGTCCCACTCATGGGCTGCACCGCCGCACGGGAGCTGCCTCAGTCCTGGATTGCGTGGCCTCGGTCCCCGTTCTACAGCCTTAGTCCTGGATCTACAGCCTGTCCTTCTGTGGGAGCGGATCCCTCCCTCAATGTAGGTCTCACTGCGGTTTCTTACTTTTCTCCCACTGGGGTGTAGTTCCTCTCTGATGCAGGAGGGTCTAAGGACAGTGCTGATGATCCAGGACATTTATGGACCAATGGCTCTGTGTGTTTATCATTGCATTTCCTGTGTTTGACTGTTGGATTCTCTGATCTGTGTTGGTGAATTAACAGCTTTGTCCTCAGTCCTCAAAGTTTTTTAAAGTCCTCCTATATAACTACTGTTGTGATTTAGGGCTATACACAAATACATGGAATTTGTTTTGCATTTTCAGATAGAGCACAGAACACTTTAGTGTCAACATGTGTCTTCTCTTCTCTCTCTGGGAGAAACAGTTCCAGGTGGAAACAGAAGCGATGCCCCTGAACAGTATAAAACCAAAAAGAAAACCTAATGCTACACGGTGAGGAGGATCAGTGAAAGTACGCAGCACTTTACCACAGCTATGTAACCACCATCTGCTCACAGGGATTCCCCTTCAGCTGGGGGCGAGAGGCAAAATCCCTTATTTCATTAGAGAGGTGAATGTCTTTCCCAGCTCTTTATACACAAATACATGCATAAGTAAAAAAAAAAAAAAAAACCATTTCCCTCATAACTGCATTTATCTTAAACAACATAAAAGCTTTAGATGGACTGTCATGAAGCGTTGCCAGATCAGTGGGGTCTTCTCAGAGCTGACCTGCCGCGGTACAGGGGCTTTACCCGACCTCTGACAGTGGAAAGGTGTTGAATGATTAATAGGAAAAAGTGTCAGAGTTTCAGCTCATTAGTCCAACCTGTATCGACTACACAGTATAAATATGGGGATGAAGGAGCCATCGATCAGGACCAATACCACCACCGCAAAACAGCATCAGCAGCACCATCCAAAACCGAACCTAAACCAAGACCAAAACATGCAGAACTGTGCTCGGGCCTCGGTCTGTCTCTTCGCATTTTTCGTCTGCTATCTTCAAGCAAGACCGATTTATTTGAGTGATCTGGGTCTATCTTTCATCCTCAAAAGCGTCTCATGTGTAAGTATGAAAATGTAACAAGGAAAAAAATTGGATCATATATTTTAAACTGATTTGATACTGATATTTACTTTTTTATTTACTGTATTTGTTTTAACCAGGATCACACCATGACGTTCGTGTCTCCGGAGAACATGGAGGTGAGACAGTAGCGAGCGTAGAGTGTGGTGGTGGGGGGCCGTTGTCAGATGTGGGCAGCTGCTGGCTTCCTTTGATGCTCTCAGACTAACGTTTAGAGTCTGTGTTTCAGACGCAGTGCTGCAGAGAGGCCTTCGCTGGCATCGTGGAGCAGCTGGAGCTCGCCAAGACCAACTGCACCGACCCCAGCGCTCACATCAACGGCACCCTGGACAGCCTGCACTTCTACTCTGATCGCTGTCCTCAGTCTGTAAGTATTTATCAGTTATTTTGGTATATTTGTTTACTTTTATAAATATTTTTTCAGTTTTTTTATATTTGTATTTATTATTATTTTGTATGTGTTTATTATGTTTCTTTTATCATTATCATTCTATTTATTATTATTATTTATGTCATTTTTTTTTTATATATATAAGATAACTCAGAGACCATTTTTAGTGGCTCCTGCGAGGATTTTTATGATTACAGATTACAAATTGCAGCATTGATAGTAATGAGATACTATGGCATGTTATACTTCATTTTAAAGCTTATGGTCTCAGGAAAAAAACTTAAATTTGTTCTAAAATGTTAAATAACAGAAGTTAAGTGTGGCCCAACTTAATGATATGAAATTATGATTATTTTTATATGTAACTATGAACCTTCAATCATCTTTTGTGATATTTGACCCTGTTGTGATTGAATCCAAACCTATTAGAGAATAATATCCAAACTCGTGTCAAAGATGAATTAAGTCTACACAAAAATAGTAAATAATTTTTATACTTATGGCCCCAACCAGCACTTATGTTTTAAACTTGACCCCAACCAAAATGACTTTGACAGCCCTGGCATAGAGGAAGGTTAAAAATACAGTCTGTGCAGGATATAGTTATGTACAATAAAAAAGTGGCAATAGCAGTGCAGGCTTTTTGATTGATTGTTCTGTTCGGGGTTGTACTTTTGCGTTTTACGTCGTGTTCTTTTAGTGTTTGTCTATTTTGTTGACGTTCCCTTTTGTTGGAGGTGCAGACCAACTCCTCCGACTGCAAATGGGAAAAGCAACGAGGGGGAAAAACACTTGTGGAACTCGTCGGCGACATCGAGAGTTTCCTGCAGCTTCTGAACACGATGCAATCCCTGTCCTGAGCGCTTACACTAACTATCTTTGTCTTCACCTGTCAATCTAAGTATATTTATTATCAGCAGTGTCGACACTAACTGTGATGGAGAAGTTCTAATTTATTATTGTATTTATTTATCTATGTATTTATTGATTTAACTGTTATGAAGCACAAACTCGTACCAGGACATGTACGAATAGAATGATTAATTTCATTCAAAACATGAAATAAACTGCTTTATAATGAATCAAGACTGGTTTTTTTTTTTATTCCATATAGTGGGATATTTTAGCAAAAAAGAATCCAAGAGAGAAGAGGTTTAGTCACTCACTAAAGAAGCAAATTTTTATTCTCTCTCTCTTTAAAGCCAACTCCATAAAAATCATTCAGTTGCTGATGTTGTGTGGTATTTTGTTATGACTGTGTGGTTTTAAAATATTAAGAAATGGGTTTAGGATTGTATAAAAGGTATAAATTGTCACATGTGTTTTCCATGTATTGTTGTTGGGGCCTATAAGCTAATGCAGCTTCCTGGGAGGTCCCTTTTACAAAACCCCGACAAACTTTACAAATAGAACGTGTATAACTTGAGTGACTATGAAGTTTTTGTAAATTAAGAGAATTGAATCGAGTTGCGATGCAGTTTGCAACATCTCCCCCTTTTGGTAAAATAGCAACACAATTCAATTTCAATTACATGTTTGTATAATCCTAGATCACAACAGTAGTTATCTCGGGGGAGCTGTTGATTCCCCAACACAAATCAGAGAATCAAAAAGTTCAAACAAATAAAATGCAACAATAACAAACACTCTGGTCTCTGCTCCTTATGGACCAATGCTCTATGTCCATAAATGTTAATACATGTAAGTAAAAGTCCATAAATGTTAATACATGTAAGTAAATGTCCATAAATGTTAATACATGTAAGTAAATGTCCATAAATGTTAATACATGTAAGTAAATGTCCATAAATGTTAATAAATGTCCTTATTTTGTTATGATGCAAATGCACAGAATCTGGAGTCCACTACCATTTCGCCTCAAAAAATATAAAACATATACAACTTTTATGATGATAAGACACATCCATGTTTTGGGATGGAATAGTGTACGATTTAAGATGGCCCTTTACTATCAGTGTATTGTCAAGAAGCCCCGTCCTTCTGTATGGATGTATTTGTCACTTCATTTTCATTTATTTTCATTTATTTATTTAATTGAACAGGGACAGTGTACAATATACATTAACCTCAGAAAGGAGAGATGCATTGTACCAGGTTGTAGCACTTGTGCTAATTTCCACCTGCAGTCCCTGGGGAGACTGATGTCAACATACAAAGTTTTAGAAAATTACACATGTTAAAAATACATTTCCCCCTAAACAGCATTAAAATGAAACCAATTTACAGTACTTTATGTGAACAGGTTTGTTTTAAAAGAAGCCATTTTTTGGCCTGGTGTGAAAAAGTGTTAAAATTGAAATTGAAGCCTGGCTCATTCTTAAATGACTGTACCCTCCCACAGAGGCCAAAAACCCCTAATGTGAAAAGGAAAAATGATGTTTGTGACAGATATAGCCGCAGCTGCCCACCCTTTCCTCCTGGAGCCTATATAAATGTATTAGAGACCACACCATCACCTTCTTACAACAAATCTGTCAACATGAAGCCGTCAGTGTGGATTATCTTGTGGGCTTGTCTCTGGTTAGACTGTCATTTCGCGACCCCCCTGCCCAAACTGGATCTATTAGTCATGGAGTTTAAACACGAGAACATGGATCCATCTATAACATGTGTAAGTTCATACCGTGGCAAAGCTGTGATGGTGATTCTGATCTGTATTTTTAATGTTTTACTGTGTTGCGGCAACAGCTTCCTGGTTCGACATTTTACACGCCGAAAAACATCAAGGTTAGAGCAGCGATTTACTCGGGGCTTCCCCTTAAACTATGCTTATTTTCTTCTACACAAAACAGCAAACGTACAAAAGGAAATACACGCTTTTCACTTCTACAACTGCTTTCACTTCAGCCTCGACACATCTCACGGTCATCTCAAACTATAGTCATCTATTTTTGTGTGTCTTCCAGTCTGACTGCATCACTTCTGCTCTGAAATGCTCCTATTTGGAATTTAAAGAAGTGGTCCGCTTGGAATGCGAGGGGCCGAGCGTGAACAGCTCTCTGGAGGTATTGGAACTGATTGACAAAGTGTTGAAAGTGAAGAATGTAAGTATTTCAGAATCCCAGAAGATATTTCACTTATAGCTAAACATACTAAAGGATTGATTATTTATGGTTACAGGCTCATGACGGTGTTAAACGTGACTGCGCGTGTGAGAAATGGCCTCTCACTCCGGTCAATGACTTTGTTTCAAATATTATGGTCTTGCTGGAGTTGCTGATGTCGCTCCGGTGGCAGGACAAAGTGGCTTGACGTGGCTCAGAACAACATTTGCCACTAGAGCTATAGAGTCCGCTGTCTGAGGATTTTCAAGGGATTTCAAAAGATTTTCCAGATCTATGAAGTGTTTTACCGAAGCCACACTGAATGGAACGACCCAGTGCTCATGGACTGAGGGGGAGATTAAGCGTATTTATCTATTTATTTATTGTATACATTTGTTTACTCTTGTTAGTAACTTTAAGAATAATGTATTTATTTATATGTATGTGTTTCTGTGGCTGGACATAATATATCCTACAGGGATCAATAAAGTTTTTCTATCACTACTCAAACAGTGCTGGGGATAGGTTTAAATGAAAAGTTATGTGTGTGTGTGAAGAGAATGCATCGGGCAAGCAAAATAGCAACACAATTCAATTTCAATTCTATTTTTGTATAATCCCTAATCACAACAGTAGTTATCTCGGCGGACTTAACAAAACTGTCGAATCGCCAACACAGATCAGAGAATCCAACTGTTTAAACACAGGAAATGCCATGATAAAAACCACATAGAGCCATTGGTCCGTGAAAGTTACCAAAGAGATGTGTGTAAAGAGAATGAACGGAGAGGTTGGGGGTTCGGGGCCATCAGTAAAAAACCGATGTGAAAACCTCCTCCTCAGCCGGAATTGAGACAAACGTACATCGTCAAAGTTTTTCCAAGTCGCTTGTGATTTCACTGAACAAAAGAGACCAGTAACTCTTTTCGTACAACAATAGTGAGCCTTCAACAACAGCCAGCTGGAAATACGGTCTAGGTATTTTTTATATTTACCTGGAAATATTTGACCAGGAAAAAACTAAGATTAAGAAGATATTTTTTTCCAAGAGTATCCTGGCCAAGGAGATGTACGTTAGCATATCGTGTCTATATACACACACACCATATACTATTTACACATTTGTACCTCACAAGTCAGAAGGAAAAGCAACATACAGAACATGAGAATTACTTCAAAACTTAACCTAAAAATAAAGAACCAAATCACTGAAATGTAGCTAAACATTTTAATATCCGACAGAACAACTCAAAAGACTCTAAAAGATATACATACAGCACAAGTGTCCATCCTGAAATACAAATGTAATTCCTTGCCGAGGAATCAGAAGCTTGTCCATTCAGACTGCAGCAGGTGTAAGAACACACTTTACTACAAACAAACACAGGAAACCGCTGTCATCCTGTGAGCTGCACAAACCAGGAACACAGACCTCACATGTAGAAGCTACAGCACAGACCACACTTTACCGTCACCAACAACAGAACACCATACTTGGAGGTTTATGACACCTTATGTACCTTAACATTATATTAAAAAAGAAAAAAACACGTGGGTGTCCATTGTATTGCTGTAAGTAAGTAGCAAGTCACTATTCATCCCGACTTGGGAAATTAAAGACAATTATCTATTCAAAAGGACTTTTGGATTATTATGATGAACTAATCAAAATGGATCAATGTGACTAAATCCAGACAATGCTTAGACGTATTAAAACCCCTTTTGTTTTCTTTACAACTAAAGAAAATCTACCTTGAATGTGTCAAATGTGACGTGAATGAGGCGCGTAGAACAAAACCCTCTTAAATTTTGTAGAGTTTCCACTCAGAGAAATCAGGATATAGGACACATATAGGAGTTTGAATGGAGTCTAGCATTGCACTAATAATAAACAAGTTTTTTGGGGATGGGACGGTATGATAATCTGCAGGTAGGGCCGCTGAGTCGCACATTTTTTTACTGTATACAACAACAGATGGTTTTGCTCATGTTGTATAATAATGTTATTCTTTTATGTGTTTACTTGGCTGGAGAAGAATGAGGGTATGATAATACTGAATTTGACTGAGGTGGAAAATGGCAGTTGACTGGATTAGCATCAACAGACCTTTACTGATATACCTTTAGAGTGTATATAAATATTTGACATAAAATATTTTACAGGCAAGCCGATATACTGCACTTAAGGCACATGCTGAGGTAGCACTGAGTTGAATGGTAGACATGTTACCATAAGTTTAGTTTAAATGAATTTATTTTTGTTTTGTTGCACTGTCAGGACAGATGTAAGCTTATCTCGTCCCATCCCTAACTACTTCTCAAAGACAGCTGCATTGTTGTAGGGTCTTTCTTCACATGCTGAAGTTGTCACTGATGGAGCATTTAGCCAACCAGGAGCCAAACCCCTGCTGGGACAAGTACTCCTTCAAAACAGTCTTGGCCTTCTGGTACGGTTCAGCCATCGTCTGAGTGAAGAAACATGCGTCAGGGGAGAGTTACAGCAGCAGCAGCAGCAGCAGCAGCAGCAGCAGCAGCAGCAGCAGCAGCAGCAGCAGCATCAGCAGCAGGACAGACTGAGAGGTACCTTTGCTTCTCTGTAGGAGCTCATCGAGAGCAGGTTCTGCTTCTGCGCCTCTTTGGCCACCAGCTTGAAGCGGTGGAACATCGCAGCTTTGCACAGACGGCTGGCCAGAGCGAAGCCACTTTTGAAAGGGGATCTAAAAACAACACATTCCAAAAGACATGCAAACTTAAAAAAACAAAAAGGAAATACTAACTTTGCTTCACAATATTCTTAAAATAAGCTATGGTATAGAATGATTCACACTGAATTCATATTTTGTTCACACTAATAGCATAACATATGTATTATAGACTTCATATCTTCAGCTATAAGAGAGTGTAGACTTTGACAATGACACAGGACGGATTTGTGCCTAAAACAACAAAACATGTTTTGAAGATTCTCTAAAATGAATCCAAACATACTCTTCAATGGTCTTCCCCTCCAGGCCGTCGACGACCTCCAGAGAGCTGTCCCCTTCGCTCCAGTTGATGCAGTTCACCAGATGCCCTCCATCAGTCCCACAGGTGGCAACAAAAGGAACCAGCCTGATGTGGGGCCTCTCCAGACAGTAGTATATGGGCAGCTGTGGAGTGATGCCCTCCACCCTCTGGCTCACAGAGATCTCCATGCCTCGAGTATCTTTGCACCCAGAATCTCCTGTGAAAACATTATTGTTTCATATTTTTGGAAAAAACTGACACATGTTCAATAAATTACCCATATGTTATTAGCCAACTAACAGTACAAGAAAACCTATAAACAATTTAAACACAAACAACTATAAGTATAAAGCAATTAATTCAGAGAATAAATGACTGTACCGATAAGGATGGTTTGAACATAGACCGGCTCGATGAAGTGACTGAGCAGGGCGCCCTGGTATCCCAACACCTGCCACTGAGTGATTTTGTCTGTAGCCGACATGCTAACCATCTTGGAAGTGATTTGCTCAGTGGCGGAGAACACAGAAAACACCTGCAAACAAAGAAAGTAAAAAGATTTAGGTTTAGAACTCTAGTTTCATGTAAAGCTAGGTCTAAAAATCTAACTTTAACACATGAAATGTAGCGCACCTTTTCTTCTACAGACAGATGTAAGCTTATCTCATTATTATCTTGCAACGTGGAGATGGAGCGAGGATTCAGGCGTCTGAAAGCAGTTCCTCATTAGAGAACATTTCTCCACACTCAGCACGAACACAGACACTCACAGATTAGCAGGAATCTGAGCCGAGCCTTTCGGCAGCTGGTTCATGTAGAGATGGAGAGTGATGCCACTTTTCAAGGACAAAAGACCACTGCTGCTGTTCATCTGGAAGATGGACTTCTCTGTCAGGTGGGCCGTCTTACTGTAGAACATGAGGAGGTGCCGGTACAAGTACCTGAAACAAACCCCTCTTTACCAACTGTACAACTCTTCATGTTGAAGTCTGAAGTACATAAGAAGTGGTGAAAACTGTTGTATCAGACTGACCTCATGAACGACCTCCGTGCAGTCACCACTGCATGAGAATCGTGCACTACTCTTCCATTGGAGGTGTTGTCTCGTGTGCTGTAGTTTCCTGTGCCAAGTGCAACCACTTCACTTCCACTGACTGAAACATGAAACAAGTAAGTAAGTATGTTTGTTTACAACAAGGATGAAAGCAGCGCAAGCAACAGTGTACAGGCAACTATAAAGGTCATTGTTTTATTTCACTAATGAAATGTTTCATTTAAATGTTTATCGATGAGACGTGATGGAAGGACATCCCGATTTAAATCCAAGATGGTGTTGAAAGGGAATCCTCAGTGGATGTTCCAGTGTGTATTGTTTCGTGTCATGTCACCGGTCCGAATGACACGTTACCGGTCCGAATGACACGTTACCGGTCCGAATGACACGTTACCGGTCCGAATGACACGTTACCGGTCCGAATGACATGTCACCGGTCCGAATGACACGTTACCGGTCCGAATGACACGTTACCGGTCCGAATGACACGTTACCGGTCCGAATGACACGTTACCGGTCCGAATGACACGTTACCGGTCCGAATGACACGTTACCGGTCCGAATGACACGTTACCGGTCCGAATGACACGTTACCAGTCCGAATGACACGTTACCAGTCCGAATGACACGTTACCAGTCCGAATGACACGTTACCAGTCCGAATGACACGTTACCAGTCCGAATGACACGTTACCTGTCTGAATGACACGTTACCAGTCCGAATGACACGTTACCAGTCTGAATGACACGTTACCAGTCTGAATGACACGTTACCAGTCTGAATGACACGTTACCAGTCTGAATGACACGTTACCAGTCCGAATGACACGTTACCAGTCCGAATGACACGTTACCAGTCCGAATGACACGTTACCAGTCTGAATGACACGTTACCAGTCCGAATGACACGTTACCAGTCTGAATGACACGTTACCTGTCTGAATGACATGTTACCAGTCTGAATGACACGTTACCAGTCCGAATGACACGTTACCAGTCTGAATGACAAACGCTGCAGTGGTTCCAGCACAGTTGGAGAACTCTGGATGGTTGTTCATCAGTTTCGCCAGCTGATCTCTGACAGCATGAGGGATCTGCAGGTTGGCGGTAGGATTTCTTCTTTCTGGATAACATAAGCATTAAACATTATGAATAGAAAAGATAATATCTAAACATAAAAGGCAGTGTGGTGGAGGTCGTACCACGATTCGTTCGATGGGAAACCTGTGAGTTGGATGGTTCCTCATTCACAGGCAACGGTGGAGGAGCATCTGAAAGAAGACCAAAACCAATAAAGTGAGTCCGTCGCTTACAAAGACTTTTTGACACCGCCCCAAAAAGTGCTGTGCGTAGCCCCCGTTGAAGCTAGAGAGCGTATGCATTTGTGAAAGTCGTAGTCAATTCTTTACGGAGACTCAAGGCTGTGATTGGTCATTCTTGGTCAGTCTTTTGATCCACACCCGTTTTGTCTGGAAGAGCCGAGGTATAGTTCCCCAAAGTGGGCAGCAGATCATCCAACGCCAACTTTGCTGCATTCTTCTTTGCGTCCTTCTTAGTGATCCCAACGCCTGCTTTGTGCTCGACTCCATCAATAATTGCGCAAAATGCAAAGTAGAAGCCTGGGATGTTTTCTAGGGACAGAGAAATCTGATTCAGCAAAGATAGACCGCAAACGAGAAAAGTTATATATTTTTGGGGCCGGAACTAACCAGTGCCTCCAGTCTCCTTAAACGCCAACTGAAACTGAAGCATCTGTGAAAGTTCATGGAGGACGCTCACAGGATGAGTCTCTCCTTGCAGATACTGATCTATGACGACTTGAGGGGTGCACCTGGCCTTATTATACCACTCTGTGTGAAGAAAGCATACATGTAATTAAGTACCAAATACTAAAACACAACATTGAAAACATAAGCATTGTTGACATATATTAATAAATGCAATACAAGAACAAAACCGATGCGTGGTAGTACATGTTCACGCATGACCTGTAGTTTAGCAAATATCTTCCTTCTTGTATCTTTTTGTATTCCCCATCTGGGATATTGACATGAGTGCTTGAATTTGTGTGTCCTTCTTCTCTGACCCCGTTTCCTTGCTCTGTGATGTTCTTTAGCCATTCAGACAGAGTTCTGACAACTGATAGCTTGTGTGAAATTAGGCGTTCTGACGTCCAGAGTAGATATTGATGAGTGTGTGTTGGTTTCCTGTGTACTGTAGTCTTTGTGCTGCTGTCCTGTTGGTGGTGGATGTTTAGGTCCAGAGGCGAGGGAGGCCCTTAACTTGGCTCACACTTGGGACTCACTTCTTCAGAGGCCAAAGCCTGGCAGGGGTCGTGGTCAGTCTGACAAATCTGCCCGATCTGTCCGTATCAGTAACAACAGCTGATAAGAGACACGTCACACCATCACGTGTCTCTGATGCTGTTGATGTAGTTTAACCCATGTATTGTCATGACATTTGTTCTAGCTTTATTCAAACACATTTCTCTGCTTAGTCTATGTGAATATTTAAAGGAACAATATGTAAAAATCTGGCCAAAAGTGGTACTGCAGTCACAGTCAATATTTTGTAGCCCTCTCCCTTTCTCCTTGACTCAAGTTGCCAGATACACACTAAATCCAGCAGCAAACACAGGGAATTATTTCATCAGTTGTTTGTCTGTCTCTCACATTGCCATGAGCCGTGCTAATGTTGAATGAATGTTTTCAATGAATGTATTTATTTATTTATTCCATTTGGGCATTTGAGTTAAAAAACAAAAACAAAATAAAAGCAATGTAATTATACATAGATTATGCAACATAAATAAGCAATTGATGTCCAAAATAGGAGTGGGAAGAATGGATGTTGGAACATATTTCTTCAGCGTATCAACATCAGGGTTTGCTCAAGAGGATATCACCCTTCGATTTTATTTATTCCCTATTTTTTAGACATACATGCATAAGTCCCACATCAAACAGAGACAACAATTATTTTAATTGGGTACATGTGGTCTCAAATTATTCTTTTTACAAATAAGCTTTGACCATTTTTTGAGCAATCTGTCAAATAATGAGATATTATGCAATTAAATTCAAATCAAATGAAAACAATAACAACTTTTACGGGTCGTAATATAAATTGTGATATTCAAATATCTCGGCTGAGCTACTGTTATCAGTTAAAGATTCGAAAAGAGCATGATTCAAAAATGCCTTTTGAAATATTGGGGCCATTTAATGATGACTTGACATGAAAATATTACATACTGATACTTTAAGCAGCGTTTGTTCCTCACCTGGTCTGTACCCTCCTCTGGGTTTTTCTTCCTGTTCTGCCTGGTTGAAAATGCTGACAGAGGGTTTATGGTCCACGTAAGGTTGGATGGGGAGATCCTTCTTGAGGGCTTGGGCGTAGCAGCAGCCTCTGCCCATCGGCATGTTTCCATTGAACATGTCCAGTACTGCAAGGGCTGGTGAAATGAGAAAAATGTAAACAACACCTTATCATCTAAAACGTAATGAGGAAAAAAATCAATAGCGTCACAGGCACACTGCGCCTTTTAACCCCAAATAATCAAGCTGGGAGTGCAAGCCAAATCAGAACGCACATGTGGCACAAGTCAGCAGTCAAAACACGCACACATACGCTACATGATTTAGAAGCCTCAAGGGAATTATTTCTCACAAAGTTCCCATTGGTATGCAGAGATTAGGGATGGTATGAATACTTGAGGAATGAAATTAAAGAGCTGGAGCTGTATAAAAGGAGCAAAAAGAGTGCATTTACTTAATTACAAGTTTTTGCACACGTCACACACAGGTGGGGTGTCGTCTTTAAGTCTGAATCCATATCCCAAAGGAGTCAGCCTTGGAAGTTTTCTCATAAAGAGTAATACAACTGGTTTATGTTAGCTAGCTACATCCGGGTCATGGTCACAGAGCGCTAACCAAAAGCTATTTAATCATGCCTTCAGTAAGAGACGGGCTAATGACTGAAGCATGTCCGACCTTATTTTATTCAGTAGTGTACATTAATGTCAATGAAATATATGTACAATTGTTGTAATAGTACTGCTAAGGGTTGTCATCGTTAGCCGAGTTTCAGCTAGCTAATGTGACCCTGCTAACAATGCTAACAATGCTAACACTGAACACCGGCGCTGTCAAGCTAACACACACGATAGTTCGAATGCAGTCATTGGGATACATATTTAATTCAAAGCACAATCTACATTCCATTTCATATTTTATATTTTAAAGAGTTGTAAAAAATGAGATACATCTTGTTAGCGTTAGCACCGAAGCTAGCGAGTAAGCTAACGTCAGTGATTAAAGGTGTTCGCTAGCTGTCTGTGCTCACACCGCTCAGATCTGGTATTATCTTCTTATTTGCTCTATAATGTGATACACGCACAATATACAGAAGTATCATGAGGATAACTTACCTTTAACTGGTGTTTGTCTGACAGTGCGTGGCTCCAGTTGTTATGATCTAATATTTACAGTTCGGACAGACTCCTCTGCATGGCAGCACCACGTGGTCTCTGACGATCAGGTCTCTGGATCTCACTGCAGCGGGTCTCTGACGATCAGGTCTCTGGATCTCACTGCAGCAGGTCTCTGATGATCAGTTCTCTGGATCTCACTGCAGCGGGTCTCTGACGATCAGGTCTCTGGATCTCACTGCAGCGGGTCTCTGACGATCAGGTCTCTGGATCTCACTGCAGCGGGTCTCTGACGATCAGGTCTCTGGATCTCACTGCAGCGGGTCTCTGACGATCAGGTCTCTGGATCTCACTGCAGCGGGTCTCTGATGATCAGGTCTCTGGATCTCACTGCAGCGGGTCTCTGACGATCAGGTCTCTGGATCTCACTGCAGCAGGTCTCTGGATCTCACTGCAGCAGGTCTCTGACGATCAGGTCTCTGGATCTCACTGCAGCGGGTCTCTGACGATCAGTTCTCTGGATCTCACTGCAGCAGGTCTCTGACGATCAGGTCTCTGGATCTCACTGCAGCGGGTCTCTGACGATCAGGTCTCTGGATCTCACTGCAGCGGGTCTCTGATGATCAGTTCTCTGGATCTCACTGCAGCGGGTCTCTGACGATCAGGTCTCTGGATCTCACTGCAGCAGGTCTCTGACGATCAGTTCTCTGGATCTCACTGCAGCAGGTCTCTGATGATCAGTTCTCTGGATCTCACTGCAGCGGGTCTCTGCTTCACCACTGTCCTGTTCTGATTATGGCTTTCTCATTAAATATGTGAAAGTTATATTGCTCCACGTCTACATGTTGGCTGTGGCCCCCTCCATCTTGAAGTAACTGGGCTGAGTAAACAAAAAAAATGGTTTACAGTATTCTGTCTCCATTTTATTTGAAAATATATATATATATTTTTTAGCAAGAGCCCTTTGAGTCACTGGGTCCTCTCTTTTTGAGTTTAGACAAACTGTATTTGACCATTGCTATTTAGATTCACTGCTCCATTTAATCATGTTTTGAGTCTGACTAATGATATGTCTAATCTGAGGAGGTCTAATCTGAGGTTGATCTAATCTGAAGAGGTCTCCTCGATGAAAGAGATAAATCAGTTGTTTCACAATGTTTCTCTGCAGTGCATTATGTAGAAAAGTGTGTTCCAAAAATTCTAAGAGTCTTTAACACATGAGATAAAGAAGATATTGTGGTCAGATAATGTTTTCTACTGAAACCAATGCATCTTTTCTCTTTTGTTCTAGATTCATCCTGTGTTCTTCAAGTGGACTGTTCATCTGCAGAAACTGGAAACATATATTTTTGCTGAATACAATACAAGGGAGTAATAAGTTGAGTTGAAACATTATAAATCCATTGTTGATTATTATTATCATTATTATTATCATTTAAACAGATGGGATTAGGCTGATGTAGGAATATTGACTTGTGTTATTTGGCCCATGTTCTCTTAAATTATTGTATTTCGCATCAAATAATTGGTCAAATACAGTGTAAAGTTTTCTGAATGTAAACTTAAAATCAGAATGCATTTTGGTTCTTGTGTTGATCATGAACTTCCTCGAAATACAGCTTTTGCACATTCATCTTCAGTAAGTGCAAGTCTGTGGCTGCTGTTGTGGCTTACATTTCCCTTTTACTTGATCTACTTTGGTTAACAGCTCGACACATAATTGTTTACCACGTGTTAGGCTACACTACTGATTTATTTTAAAACTGCATTTGACTCAAAATGTCGTTGGTTCTCGCAGGTCAAGTGTCTAATGTTAGTGGACGTGACGATAGAGGGACTTCCCATCGCAACCACAAACCAAACTATAGGGACTTAGCTCCTCTTCAGGGATTCCATTTTTGATCTCAGCGTTACTCCCAGTAGATTTAAACATATGATTTCTTATTTATGAATATATTTGGTGGGAAACTACTGTACTACACACATATTTCCCAAAGCTTCTATCTGGTCCTGACTTGTGTAAAACTGTAACCTGTCATATGCACTTTGAGTTCACTTTTCTTTGACACCCACACACCATCTGGCGTCATGTGAGTGTCCTATTAACTATGTAGGCAAGGCCAGGCCAGTTTTTTTGTATGGCACAGTTCATACACAAGGCAACTCAAAGTTCTGAACAAAACAATATCAAACAATCATTAAAATAGAATCCATAAATAGTCACATTAAATATAGTCAAGTTAAAATCCTTCAGTTGTAGCACAGATAAACAGAACTGTTTTTATCCTGGATCTGAACAATGTCAGAGAAGGCGTCTGTCTCACATTTTCAGGAAGACTGTTTAGACTGATTTTAGCTGCATGAATCTGAAATTTTGCCTCCCCATGTCCTGACTCGGGGCACCAGCAGGAGGCCAGTCCCTGTTCTCCTCAGAGTCCGAGTTGCTTCTTATGGCTCTAAAAGTATTGTAACTTGAATGCAATGTTGTAAAATAACTTAATTTTGCGAGTGTTTTCCTAAATCCTGTAAATATGGAAAGGTCATCGAGTTCCCTGTTGCTCTCATACAGTACATACCCTTTGTGAATGACGTAGGAGATTAGCAATTGTGCAACCTACAAAAGTAAAATGGAACACACGCAGCCCACACTCAAAACAGAGAGCCACGAAGGTCGCCTAATTTGGGCTTTCCGCATCTGCTACATACAACAGGGAGAACATTCAAATGCATCGGTCTCACTCGAAGAGGGAAAGGATGGACTCTGTGAATGACTGTCTCTCTACGGTTTCTGCAGTTTATGAGCCTGGAAGGAAAAACTATGAGTCAATACCTCAAGCCACACCACATTGGCAGTTCATGCGATACAAGTCTCTTTTTTTCAGGACTTGGAAAATATATTTGAATCAGGTTTTAAGTGCAATAAGTTTAGGATCAATCTCTTTAACTTTACTTTTACGCTATAGGATATTTATTGCACTAGAATATACGGTATAGTTATCGTTATTGCTCATTTGTCTTGTGCTATGTGCTCCTCATTCCTACTGCTCTGTAACTGCTGATGCAACACTGACATTTCCCCGCTGTGGGACAAGTAAAGGATCTCTTCATCTTTAATTACTTTGTTTTTTGAAACAGATTTGCACTTTGTAAGTATTTGCGGCCTACAGTCATAGTGAAAATAGAATCTTGTCTGAGAAGCATTGTTGGCTGGTGAAATTCCCCTTAATCCCCCCTTTGCTCTCCAGGACTGAGAATGTTTGTATTATGTTTAATTTAAAATTTTACACAAACTTGTTATATATGAACTTAATAATCCATATATGGTTACTACATGTTATGGATATTCAACTTTAAGAATGACTTTAAGATACAAGTCTGACTTCAATGTGTTCAAAATGTTTCTGTGGACATGTGGCCATATCTGCAGATGACAGTCAAGTCCTCTCAAACCTTTGAAGCTAAGCAGGGCAGGGCCTGGTTAGGATTGGGATGGGAGGCCTGCAGGATTACTGGTGCCACAGTGGGAGGGCTGCGGCTGAAAAGTGTCAAACTGTGGTTGTGTACGTTGGCTAGACACTTCCCCTTCATTAGCATTATTCTGGTGTGTGTGAATGGTTGGTGGTGGTGAGAGGGGCGGATGGTACGGTCTGGTTGCCTCTTTCTGTCAATGTAGCCCAGGGCAGCTGTGGCTACAATAGTACTTTATCACCACTGTGTTTAGAGTGAAAGAATAATGTGAAGTGTCTAAGTTTAAAATTAATGTATTTTTTTTTATCATTGTTATATTCTCAGTTAAAAGTTTTACTCACTTTTGACCATTCAAACTGTTTAATTAGTGTGGTCTGTGTGGTGTCTGTACTACAGGACCTGCAGGTACCTGACCCGTGTACCTGTTCTCTGAGGAAGTCTATTCACATTGTGCAGAAATGACATAACAGACATTGTTAACAACACTGGAGAGCACAATGCAGCAGTGGGCCAGGTGTGTCAATACAGAACCTCTGATCTCATACCAATGTTGGATTCACTTTTTTACATGTTCCATAAATTACACCCAAAAATCAAAAATAATAAAAAAAATCTCTACATTTATACACTGTTCAAGAGATTGTATCTGATTTTTCTAAGGTGAGGCGACAGTAGCTCAGTTGGTAGAGCATTGGCCTTTGGGCCTGAAGGTCGTGGGTTCAAGCCCACCATAAGGCCTACTTCACGACTCCCACTGATGACTGCTGTTGTTGTGTCCTTAGGCAAGACACTTAACCCCACTTTGCCTGAAGCTCCGTCTGAAAGATCTCAGCTCCTGTGGACTCACCACCTGCAGGAGGATCAGTGTGGGGCTGGTGCTAAGTGCAGGACCCCCCTCACCCAGAAATGGATTAAGGGGAAGAAAATGGATGGATTTCTATAAGGTCTATAGGAGGATTATCCCAAATTTTAGGAAAGAAACGCCCTCTCCGCTTTTTGAACAAAACTCTCTGGTCTTATTTGACGAGAATACCAGAATTATTGACAAAATATTATTCTTGATGATCCCACCGGAAGTAGAAAATCCTCCTATATACATTTAATAATGTATAGATTTCAAGGACTGTTCACTTAATTTGATCTTGTGCTCTTTGGCCACACGGGGGCAGTATTGGGCAGGGTAGGGGGCAGAGGCGTCAAACTACGGTCACAGTTGAGGTTATGGATCTATTATAATAACGGTTGAGGTGCACTTGTTGAGACCATAGGTACTTTTAAAAGCTTTTTGGCATAAATATTATTACAGACAACAACAAAAATTACCTATAAAGAAATGTAACATACATCTGAGCAGTAATATGTAACAGTGGCCACATTTGCAAAAGTATTCTTTTAAGTACCTGCGTTATGGGTATATTTTTACACTTGAGATGACCTATTCAGCAAAAAAAGCATCTGAGAACAATCAAATTCATTCAACAAGATAAATATGTCGCTTAAAATACTTTCACCCATCTTTTTATGATTATTGTGTAAATGAGATGAGTTTTGGACTTGTTTGTGAATTAACAGCGTCCACATCTGCAACTTCTGTCCAACCAGGAAGTAACATTCTTCCTCCAAACTTAATTATATCCATCTTACCTGTACCTTTGTGAAATAAGTAGTCAGTCTTAACTGTCTACGGTCCTGCAGCAAGATAATAAATGTTTAGTGGAGGATCTTCTGAATGCCTGTCTTGTGTTTTTGTCAGAAGGCACAGTTCTGGCCTCTATAACCGTAAAAAGATGTTTGGTTTTTGGTTTCACATGCCGGTATCACGTGCCTGCTTCCATCAAATCTTTTGCTCTTCTACATTCCAACATACATGAAAATATAGTGTGTTTAAAAATAATGTATAATTATAGTAAAATTGTGTATTTCTTGTGTTTGCATTTGCTATTTCAGAATCAGATTATAGCGTGAATGGGGGTCAGGGGGAGCTCTGTGCTGAAGACTTTGGGAATGGCCTGAGTGTTGTTGGATTTGTCCCCCATAAAAACAGTTTAATTCCCCTCATGGTTTAGATGTATGCAAGGCAAGTTTATTTTGTATGGCACAGTTCATACACAAGGCAACTCAAAGTGCTAAACAAAACAAGATAGAAACAATACAAGATACAATACATACGGTAAATAATCACAGTACATTAGAAAGCATGAAGATACAATCCCTCAGCTGTTTTTAACCTGAATTTGAACATTGTCAGAGAAGAAGCCTGTCACACATTTTCAGCAAGACTGTTCCAGATTGTTGCTGCGTGAATCTGAAACGCTGCCTCATCATGTTTAGAAGAATGGAACAATAAACCGTATAGTCTTTATTGTAGCCATATTCAGGGTCTGGCTCCATGATCATTCCCAGCCTTGTGAGATTGGAAGAGTTGAGCGAGAACCCACTCCTGCTCCATGTGTTCTCTGGCTTTGTGTAATATTTCTCCATGAAGTGACCATGACATGTGCAGAATGATGTGACCTTCTCAGAGCGCCCCGAGCTCCGGAGCAGACAGCCCGTCCTGACAGCAGAGCTCATTGATAAAGCCCAGTGCTGCTGCTCCTCTCTGCTCCTGCTGGTGCACTCTCCACTGCGTCTCCACTGCCCGAGATTCAATCTTCCCCATTCATTAGACTAAGTGGATGAAGCTCTCTAATAGGGGCTCCCTTCCCCTCAATAATTGCCGTTGATTGGCGTAAATTAGACCCTAGTTGCCAGACGAGTGATTCTCGACGACGATAATCTGATTCCCAACTCAAACTAATAGGATTTTAACTCTGGCTTTGGCCTAATGTCCGTCTGCAAAGCCTGGCTGTGGCCCTCTGCCCCATCCGGACATCCCTGGTTCATATCTGCAGGCTGGACAGAGGAAGAGTGTGTGTGTGTGTCTGTGTCTGTGTGTGTGTGTCGGAAGGTTGAAGGGTCATGTCCAAAAGTGACTCCTCCTCGACGCCAAGACGTTCTGCTATCAATCGGTCATTCACGAGGGGCTGACATCATCAATGGGACGTGCGTGATGTGGAGGAGGCGGTGTGGGGACAGAACCGGGAAGAATCTGGAAATGTTAGCAACAATAAATAACTTGTTTATTATTTTCTTTCCGGAAACGCTGTCAAGCAAATCATTGGGGAAAGGTGAATCCAGGAGAACATGTTTTAGTTGTTGATAAAAGTAAAAAAAGAAAAATCTATTCAATTCAATGTATTTTTGTATTGCCCTAATTCACAGCAGTATAGTTATCTCGAAGGACTTTACAAAGCTGTCAATTCGCCAACACAGATCAGAGAATCAAACAGGACACACACCTATATGCAATAATAACAAACACATAGAGCCTTTGGTCCATAAATGTCTTAAAATTACTTTATTATATCAATCTAATTTCATCTTAAATTTATTCAGTAATTATCCTGCTGAGATATCACTTCTCTATATCACTTTTTCAGTTGAGTCCAGGCCTCAGAGGCGGGGACCCTCCTCTTGCCTTGCTGTGAGGCTAGAGTGCTTGCTGCCCATCTATCCATTGTCTTCTGCTTTATCCGTTGCCGGGTTGCAGGGGCAGCAGTCAAAGCAGAGACGCCCAGACTTCCCTCGCCATGTCGCCCATAGTAAGTCAAACTATTAAATGTCATGCTGGTTGTTTGGTAAATCTTACTGTAGGACAAACTTTGCTTCCAGTCAAAAGGCGGATATTACCATTGTCTCAGTTTGTGTGTGTGTGTGTGTGTGTCTGTAGGCAAGACTAAGCAAAGACTATTGGACGGATTGAGCTGAAATTAGATGTTGCAGATGGGATTTGTACGGGAAGACCCCATTAACATTTCCAGAGGATCCTTGACATACTAGTCCTAGTTTGTTCATCTATATTAGTTCATAACAAATCTCTAAATGCATGTAATTCCCAATGAAAACTCAAGGAAAATATGTGTATAGCCTTAGATCACAACAGCAGTTATCTCAGAGGACTACAAAGCTGCTTCGCCCACACAGATCAGAGAATATAAACGTTCACACACCGGAAATGCAATGATAACAAACACATATAGAGCCATGGGTCCGGGCAGAGACCACAACATCTCTGGACAACGCACTTCTATGTTTTCAGGAATCCTCGCCCCCACACACGTCCACACGGTTTCTCCTCCTGCAGAAGCGAGAGCACACCTCGCGGCGTGATGTGACCGCTCGTCCCTTTTGTCGCTGACTTGATAAGGGGACACTGCTACTACTAAAGCCCCAGGACTAATGAATCTCCACTCCATTAGGGCTGAATCGGACAGATTGCTCTCCCGGAGAAATGAATTGAGTTTTTTGTATTCGTGAGATCATTCTACCTCCATTAACTG